TTGCTGTTTGAAAATAGGTTTTGACAATTAGATGATTAATTTTCTCCTATTAAATAGCATTATGAGACTTATGATTACATTTATCAGTAAATTCTTTTTAGCAGGAACATAATATGAAGAGCGACCAAACAGAATAGGAATTAATATCCTTTGTGCAGGATCTGAAAATACTTTTTTAACAACCACTATTGTGAAAATACTTAGAAAAGGAAATTCTGTTGGAAAACTCATGCTTTGTTCATCATTTAAAGTGACACGTTAGCTGAAACCGGTTTGGCTCAGTCGATAGAGCGTTGATCTGCGGACTGAAGGATCCAGGGTTCGATTCAGGCCAAGGGCATGTACATTGGTTGCGGGTACATCTCAGTAGGGGGTGTGCAGGAGGCGGCTGGTCGATGTTTCTCTCTTATCGGTGTTTCTAGCTCTCTATCCCTCCCTCTTCTTCTCTGTAAAAAATCAAAAGAGATATATATTTAAAGTGACATGTTAAAGATGTCCTATGTGAGTATGAAGAGCAAAATATTTGAGGACCTGCTGGCAAATTTTTGTTGTTGTTGTCCTGGTTATCTGCACAGTATACATCCCTTGTCAGGATGACTAGGGAGTGCCTGTGTAAACATTCTTGTTCCGCCTGTTCCACATAATCACGTCTTGTATCACATTTCTCCTAACCTCGCTATCTGAAACCAATTACAGGAGACCCATTTGGGCTGCATCTGTTTTCATAAAAAGCCTAGGCAGCAGTGTTTTTCTCAGAGATGAATATCAACATCAAATATGCTTCTGAGTGCTTTGTTATTTATGTTTCAGAGAGATTTTGTGGCCTTCAGCTCTCAAGAATGTGTCATGCTGTGCTGTTTATACATTGAAGATATTAATGGGTGTAGATGTCATTTTTCATTTTAATGTCTCAAATGCAACAGGCGGATAGGTTAAGCATTCCTATTTTTATGGGGAGAGATATGAGTGATGTCTGTTTTCCCCCCAAATATACATATATTTACTTTGAAAAAAAAAAAGAAGCTATTTATAAAGCTTAGGGTACTCCACATTTTTTGTTTAACTGGGCTTTTCTAAGCTATTCACAAACAATTTTATTTCTGTTTTCAAGATGAAAAAACGCAATGTTTTCAGTGTTCCTCAAGAAGAAAAACAAAGGTTTTTCACTCTTATTTCTCATAATAACTTACTTACTAGAATTATTCTTTTTCTATGATGTTAATAATGAGCATAAAGTTATTATTATTGTAGAAGCGTAATATGCTTAAATGTTACTTTTCTTAAACATTTGTGCTTATTTGAAATTACACAATAACTATTAAGAATGGTGTTTTTAATAAATATTTTAGAGCAAAATGCACTGAATTTTGGAAAACGTGCATTTCCACACCCTTGCAACCTAACAACAACAACAGAATATGTTTAATCTATTATACAGCTTTTTGTTATTTTCAAAATATTTAGTTTAATCAGATTATAAGTTTAAAACTGTCCTATCTTAGTTTTCTTTAGCTTTCCTATAATTAAATAACTTCATTAAGGAAAGTGTACTCTTAATTTAAAATAAATTTATTTTTGGAAACTAGATAGGTTTGGGTGCCTTAGAAACCTCTTTCTTATTCATTTGAATCAAGCTCAGACATATTAAAGAAAGATTTGTAAACAAACATCGCTTGCCCTTTGTTCTAAATTAACTTTTTGTTTTTGCGGGAGGTGATCATAAAAATACTTAATAGCTCATAGAACTTTATGAATGGTCCTAGTATATAAAAATTTCTATTTACCAATTCAAGTGGACAGATGATTTGCAAATTAATATTCTATGTAATTCGACATTTAACACCTTATATTGATGGAAATGTTAGTTCATAATCTTTCATCTTTTGAGTAGCTACAATAATAAATTGCAAAGATGAAGTAAAAGTGTCTAAGCAATTGTTTACTGAAATTAAGTCCTAAAGTGTTATCCAGAGTACTGGAAATTAAAAATGTTATGTAATGCCTGCAGTTGAAATGCAAACTGCAAAAGATTTATGCTTAAGAGTTTCTAATCATTCCTGATCTCTAGGAATTGTTTTTTGTTCTCCCACCTCTCAGTTTACTATGGCAAATCTCTACTGCTGCAAAAAGAATGTTGAAATAGGCAAGATGTTCTTTTTCATAAGCTTTTGTATTGAAAGATTATCCTTGACTGTTTCAAAGATAAATGTAAATGCATATGCAAAACACATATTTGAAAGTAGAAGCATAATTTAGCCGAATAGCTCCTGGCCTTCTATTATTAGTAGTATTCTTTTAACAACAGTGCACATGTATCTATTTGCCCAGCAATATTTTCATGAGCTGCAATTCTAATATGTCTAATTTTCCAGTGTCTTTCTATAGCTATTGGGTATTGCATATATTCATTCCATTTGGGTTGCTTGTTTGGGTTGAGTTGACTGGATGTAAATGCAGAAATTGATAGGGTTTTGGACTTGACAGATGAGAGTCTGAGATTCTGACCAGACTCTCTTCTGCTTTGTGATTTTAATCAAGTCATTTCAGTATTGGTTCTTTGATTACTTGTCTACAAAGTGTGAAAACTAGGATAACCGATTTCTGAGGTGTGTTTTTTCCAGTGTTGAAATTTTTCAGTTTACAACTAATAACTGGCCAAATGATTGGAGTGTTACAGGCCAGTAGCACCCCATCATGTACTCATGGACTCTGTGATGAAGTCCAACACAAGGATGGTGGGAACACTTAGCCATAAAAATGACATATTCTGTAATAGTTTTTCTATTCAAACATTTACAAATTGAAAACATAAAATATTATGTTGTAGTTCCCTCTTTAAGTTTTTGATAAATGGGGATGCCCTCTTGCCATATATTCTCATTTGCTAAAGTTTTTTCGTTGCCATCTAACAGTTCCTTTGACAGAACAGACAATAGCCCACACTGGGATGGACTCTGGCCTGGAAGCCTGGGCACTGTGAACCTGTTTCCCCCACTTACTAAAATGAGGGGGGCTATTCCAATGATTTTAACTTCAAGATTCTGAACCACCCTTATTAGAATCCTTGAAAAATAATAAATAACTACAGAATTAAATGTAACCTAAATAAGGCTGAGTATATGCAAAATAAAGATCTCAAATGGGAAAACAATTATATGAAAAATATTAGGCAAATTTTGTGTGGAATTGGTACCAAAGGAAAATTAATTAATTACTTTTCAAGATTTTCACATTGACCCAGCCTAAATCAGTGGTAATTTCCATTTAAAAAATATCATTTGTAGTTAGTTTTTAAGTTGTGATTTAAACAGAAAGTAGTATTATTAGACTATCAAGTGAAATTTTTCAAATTGAGTTTTGCAGTGTGTTTATTAATTTTTATTTGGTCTTTTATTCACACTGAACTTTATTATAAAATTGCATAAGTTCACTGGAATGTTTCATCCTTAGAAGCATTCAGGTTGGCTTTTGATTACTTGAAACATTTAAAATAAGAAAAAAGGAAGCTTTTTTGAGTGAGTGTGTTTCCAAAAAGTGTGCTTTACAAACCACGCCGGATCCTGCCCTGGGAAGATAAATCAATGTTGTTAGGAGCTGGTGCGAGCGCATTCAGTTTGTTTACTTTGGTTTCTATGTCTGCCTGCCTCCTCAGAAAACTTGCTTGGAGCCAGACTGTAGCAGCCCTCCTTTCTGTCTTTTCATAATTGATCAGGGGATGACTGCCTTCCCTGAGGGTTAAGACATGGCAACTTTTTCTGTTTGCTCAGCATCTCAATGCAGTAGTTCAAACATTGTTCACACCAGCTGGCAGTGTAATGCCATATGCACATCTTGTCAAAGCAACTGTTGTCATGGATACTAGAAATTCTCTTAAAAACCATATCATTGATTCCAATGGAAATTGTACTTTTTTCTGCTTAGAATCTTAATTATTATAAAAGGAAATTAATCTAAAATATTTCCCCTTCTTGAAAACTTTATCACACATTCTAAAACAGTGAATAACAAAGGAAAGACGTGATTTATTTTAGTTTCATGTGTTGGAAAATTTCATCATTAATGTTCATTGAACTCAGTTGTTGAGAGAAAAATGAGTTTGTACAGTAGAGGCTCTTAAAATTTTTTAAATTAGTTTATACTGTTAACCTTTCAAACATCACAATATGTGAGTTTATGTTGTTGTTATGGTAGTAATTTTTATATTAATTTATATAGCATAATGGTCAAACTGTCTCTCTTCCAGCAATTGATATGCTTACATTAATTTCTTATGTTAAGTTTTATTTTCTTGAGTTAGAAAGGAACCATAAAAATAAATGAAAACATCTATTTTGATTGGTGTTCTATCACACATAGAAATAAATCTGATTGGTTGAGTGGTATTTTCTTTGTTCTCTGATTTTGCTAAGAATGTAAATGAAAACCACTCAATTTTATTTGGCATTGAAATTGCACTTTATTTTGTCAAAGGAGAAGTTTCTTCTTAAATTGCAATTACCAAAAAAAAAGTATTTTAAATCTTTAGTGAAAATCCTTACTAATTCACTTTCAAGATAATCTGATGTCGATTTGTCAAATTTAATCACAGCTTCCGGTAACACTTGAAGTCTGATGCTTTTGCTTCAAAATCGTAATATGAAAATACAAATCGGATGATAGTTTAAAAGGGACGGAGCTTTATAGTTGAACATTCAAAGACAAGTTGCTTGTGGAAATGAGATTATGGAGGCAGTTTGGGATATTTTTCCTTTTTGAGCACTTTAAACAAATTAACTTTATTTCCTGCAGGATAAAAACCATCTCTGTGGTTTTAAGTACATTTGTATATGTTATGTAAATTTTTTCACATTAGAAAAAAAAAGAATATTTAATGATTTTCTCTAGAAAGGAGGGCTGGATGGGATTCTGATACATTGAAGCTTATTACTATGAACCAGGGAATAATGGATCCTCAGTTTACCTTTCACAACATTTAGATGTTGCTTCCTTTTTACTCCTAGGCTCTCCAAGCAGCGAGACAACTTCTCTTACAGCAGCAAACCAGCGGACTAAAATCTCCAAAGAGCAGTGATAAGCAGAGACCACTGCAGGTAGGTAATGTCTTCCTGTCCTTGGGGTCTTATTTTAAAACATATTTGTTATGAAAACAGAAATGCAGACTCAGTTGTATACACACAGAACATTTTTATGTTTGCCTATGTAGATAATTTCCATTCAAAAAGAGAATTCTTGAAAGAGAAAGAAAGAATTTTCTAGTAATATAGATTTCAAAAGTTGACAAGGTCACTTATTGCAAAAACAATGTAGGAACCACAGATGGTATATGTAGGCATAAAAGTTTTGCAATAAACTTCTTACTGGGATTTTCATGGAATTTAATTCACAAACAGTACAAATATGGAATTTCTTTCTTAAAAGCAAATCATAGTCAAGCGGTATGGGGTAAAACAAAGCAGGCCAAGTCAACCCTTCTGTAGCTGTACTCAAGTGACAAATGCAGAAAACCTCCCATTTTGCCAGAAAAACCGAATTCGCCATGGAGTTATTGCTGTTGCTACCGTTATAAACATACATTCTGGAGTCTGTTATCTTTACTCACTATGTTTGTCCTGTGGAACTGATAGTATGAATGTTGTTTATAGTAACTTTTTCTTATATAATATAACCATTGTTTTATTTAGTTTTAACAGGAATATTTAGGGTATTTTCTCCAAGAAATAAACATTTTCAGGGTGTATTTTAAAAATATTTGGAAGGTTTATGGAGATGCCTAAAACATCTTTCGAAATGTGTATCAGCTCTGTGGGAGGATAAGCAATGCTTTTTTAAAATCCAAGTTACATACATGTCTAATAGGGCAAGCTTAGTTTTTGTGTTTTGTTTTTTTTTCCAAAAAAGTAAACATCTTTCTTGTTGCTTTAACAAAACTATCTTGAAAATGTTTATGTCTGTTTTCCTTTGTAGGTGTACTCCCAGATGTTAGTAACTAAGTCTTACATGATGGCCTTCTGACAGAGAATTATAGGCTACTGATGAACACAATCCAGAAACCACTTATTACCTAAAAACTGGATTAATTTATGGTCCCTAGACAGATTTGAGATGAGAATATATTTTCTTGGGAACAAACCCACTTCGGGGGAGTGGGTGGAAAGAAGGGGGAATCAGGGATGAGGCCTGCCTTTTACCAGAGGAAAGTACAGATGTCTGCCATGATTGTATGTGAGTCACACTGAAACAGTCTGAGTTTAATATCCATCTTAATTTCTTCTCTTTTAAAAATAAATTTCACTTTCTTTTGTTTTAACTAATCAATAATTCTGTAGTGAGGCATTTTACCTACCATTATATACTTTTCTAAGTAATAATAGTGATTTGAGCGTTTCCATTGGGTTATCTGATTCCATGAGAGTCTCTCCATACGTTTACGTGACAGAAAATTTTACATAGAAGTCATAGAAGATATCCTTACTATGGCTTCAAAGTGGGAATTTTGCTTTCTTGTTGGTATAGCAAAGGAGGATTAGATGCTGGCAGGATAAGCCAAAGGTAGTAGTTTACTGTTTTTAATATCTGAAAGAGACTATACATATTGTGCTAATTCTATCTTATGTGTCTCTTGATGTATTAGACCAAGTAGTTGTACCTTTCTCTCCAAAGCTAAGTCAAGTAGGAGTTTCTTTATTGATGGTTACTAAGATATTTCTGGAAAGAATGGCTGGGCTTAACGTTTTCTATTTTCTCTTTTTGTTGTATTGAAAGACAAAATTTGGCTATACTTTAACCAAAATACACGTAATTTTGTTGGCAAAACACACACACACACACACACACACACACACACTAATATGGGAATAATTATGACTCTAAAGTGAGAAAATGTTGCTCATGTATCAAATGTTGTATAAATAAGATTTTGAGCCTAAGTCCTCAATTTTGTTTTTATTATAAAAGGGTGATTAAACATTTACAAACACCTTTTAACAATTTTAGTTGCTAAACCATTACTGTAGTTTATTATGTCACTTATCATTAGTGTTTTGTGATTCATATTAACCCAAATATATCTTAATTATACAGATCTAAAACTAGAATTGTATTATTCTTTTGAAATTTTAATAGGATATTAAACAAAAATGTTATAGAAATGAAAAGTTGGCTTTTAAGAATGAGAATTTAGGGTAATGACCAAAGACTTATTTGTTCACCAAAATATACACCACAGTTAATGTCATGTGGTTCTACATTTTTAGTATTTTGTAGCACTTGATAAGCTTTGAAACTGGAAACATGCTGGGATTGCATAAAAAATCTAATAAAAACTGAATAGCGTTTTATACTAGCTTACACATGTTGTCAATGGGGGATATTAAATAATACCTATTTTTGAATCTGCAAATATAATTTAACATGAATTACATTATGTGTTTGCCACGTGTGTTAAAAGAAAGGATAGAATATTGTTTGCTAATTATAAATATTTAAAATAAAATTAGCACTTTAAAACTTTTATGATTCTATCACAGTCTAATTATTTTTTTTAAATACATTTTTATTGATTTCAAAGAAGAAGGAAGAGGGAGAAATAGAAACATCAATCATGAAAGAGAATCATTGATTGGCTGCCTCCTGCATGTCCCATACTGGGGTTGAGCCTGCAACCTGGGCATGTGCCCTTACCTGGAATCAAACCTTGACCTCCTGGTTCATAGGTCAATGCTCAGCCGGGCTTTTTTTCTACTTAACTGTTTAATCAATATTTAATAATAGAGTTGGTGTACATTATCTTTTAGATTTAAAGAAATAAGTGAAAATGGTTCAAAATCTGCACTTGTAAGGCAAGTTATTTGGTGTTAATAATAGATCATGCTGGTTAGAGGACCAAAAGAGATATGTGATTTTCATTTTAATATGTAATTTTTATGGATAACTATTTTATAAAGTTTGGAAGAAAAATAAAGATTTTAGAAAAGTATTTTAATGGCTCAAGTCACAAGAATAATATTTGTTGCTCAACTGAATTTCTTTTAAATGTTGAAAAGTGGTAGCCAGATTTGAAGTGTGGCATAGCAGAGAGTCTGTTTCTAGCAGATGACTATTTATCTACTATTACTTTTTCATTTACATTTTCTTGTCTTTCTGCTACAGATGGCATAGATATTAGCATATCTACTGTAAAGTTGTAAGAAAAGTCACAGCTAATTAGCCCACCAATTGTAGTAGTGATTTCACTTTCATGTATAGATATCTGAAAATATGTATTTGAAACATGTTTACATATTAATTCATTGCATGAAACAATACTTAAGTAGGGCCAATCAGTTAATGTATTGATTAATGACATATTAGATGATTAATATAAAATGATTGTGATGCAGATTGGAGCTGAGATTAAACTAAGCATTCTTAGATTTTCTTTTGCACATTTTTACTATGTATCTCAGAAAATCAAACCCTAAAATGAATATGGCTTCTTATCTGAATTTACTTTACTTATCTATATCTATTTCTATTCTAGCATGTCCTAGATATGATATACCCATAGTGGTCCATAATGAGGAAGGTCATTTAAGAGAATATGTAATACTTTCAATTTCATGAAACGAATTTCCTGATTGAAAAGAGTAAATCCACATTGTTTTATGCACACTTGCACACTTCCATAATCTGTAATTAAAAATTTTTTGTAAAATACATTATCCATTTTCTAGCCTATGACAGATCTACTTAATTTAGTTTAGGTATGAAATTGGTCGCATTATTGTTCTTGTTACATTTACAGCCATGAGACAGACTTGTGGTTCTTCAACAGCTGTGCAGAGCAGAGACGTAAATTTAAGGTAAATGCCATTGCTTTGCTATCTTAGATGAATATTAATATATAGCATTGTAATCACTTCCATTGTTGTAGATTAATATCTAATATAAGGTTCTCTTTTTCAATAGGCAATTTAAATTAATTTTAAAAATAATTCTGTGTTAGTTTAAGAATGGAGTACTTAAAAGCAAAAGTGAATTAGACTTAGGAGTCTTATTCTGAGTCTGACACAAGTAATATAGGTTTCAGGAAGTCACTCAACATCTATAAAATATAGACCTTGGGCTAACTGATGAATAAAATGGAATATTCTGTGATTAAAGATTTATTTCATTTTTTAATCCTCACCCAAGGATATGTATTTTATTGATTTTAGAGAGAGAGGAAAGGAGAAAAAGGAAAGAGAGAGAGAGAAAGAGAGAGAGAAAGGGATATGAGAAAGATGAGAAACATTGATTAGTTGCTTACTGCACATGCACAACCAGGGATCAAACCTACAACCTGGGTATGTGCCCCGATCAGAGTCGAACTAGAGACCCTTTGGTTCTGGGATAATGGTCCAACCAACTGAGCCACATTAGCCAGAGTTTATTTCATTTTTAAAACTAAGTGATAGATATCTTAATTCCTCGAGAATAGCTGTACTTTGTTGGATATTAGTGTATGGGGTAAGGGTTATGTGTATGTATTTGTTTGTTTTTACTTATAAAGGACTTTAAAGACATACCATAGAAAAAAAATAATGCTTTGATATCAAAGTATTAAATCTTAGATGTATGGAAACCATTGTGCAAGTATTAATTTATATAACATCTAAGAAAAGTTTTGTTTTGTTTAGTGCCTTGAAATAATTTTATAAATTGTTTTGAAGAAAAATCTAAATTACACAAAAAATTATTTTACCTATGTATTTACTTTAAAGATCTATATTAAAATACATTGTCATTGAATACAGTTTAACAAATTTCTACCTTCCTCTAATTCTTCAGTGCAAAATGTTAAATTATCAGCAGCAGACAATCAATAAGTTTTGCAGCAAACTAATAGGTGTTTCTAAAACTTTCATTCTAGGGGAATCAAACCTAATAAAGAGCAAAATCTATAAATAATGAAGTTGAATGTATAAATAATAAAAATAAACATATCTTTGGAATATAGAATTGGGCATCGGTAAATATGTTTTAGGAAATTGTCAAAATGCATTTATATAGTCATAATGAATGAATTAAATATTTCCTTTTCAACATTAAGTTCCGGTTTCTAGTATAGAAG